CAGCACTATCCACTGCCCCTCTGTACTCCATAACCTAATAATCATCCCTCTCCCTCTTGCTACCCAATACTCTTGCATCCTTCCCTGCCCTGCTGCACTGTATAACCCTTGTGGTTTAGCGCTTCTTTTATATTATAATACAGTAATTCACTTCCATTAGCAAGTTTTGCTTCATTAACTTCAAGTTACTATTCCAACTTCACTAAATTTACTACTGTACTTATATTATTAGTAAGTTTTGTTTTTTTGAGTCGATTGACTAATTCCCTCATCACTAACTTTACTACTTATAGTATATTATAAGTAGCTCAGTAGTCTCAATCCTTAATTTTCATTAAAATTTTGTTTCTTTGAGTTAGATTGACTAATTCCATCATCACTAACTTTACTACTTATAACATATTATAAGTAGCTCAGTAGTCTCAATCCTTAATTTTCATTAAGATTTGAGAAGCTACCTCTCATACTCAGCAAACATGCCTAAATACATGCACTATTCTGGGTGCAAATCCTTCCAAGATTTCTTTGGATTCTTTATAAAAAAATGCCATCATGACAAGTTCATTCTAAGAAATGAATTATTAGATTGGTATTTTGAGTACTGTGAACGTGAAGGTGTTGCCGCAGCCTCTCCAGTTAATATTGGTCGCACCCTCAGTAGGATGGGCATCAGGGCTGACAGAAGGGTAGGAGGACATAACGGTTTGGATCAACAGTATGCTTATTCTGGACTGGCATGGAGGGACTGTCCACCAGATTACTGTCCAGAAGTTATCATAGAGGAAGGTGAAGAAAATATTGATCCTCTCCTCCTAACATACTGTTACGTCCCCTTGATGAGACTTTGTGAAGGGTCACTTGATGTTGGCATGGAATGAACGAAAGTATGGAGAGAATGAAATGTTTTTAAAATGTGAGGCTCTTTAATATTATTTTGAACAAGGAAAACATTTTATTTTTTTATTAAGAAGTTATTATTTTTATTTTAGATAAGGAGAAGCTTTTATTATTATTATTATTATTATTAAGAAATTATTATTATTTTAGATAAGGAAAACTTTTATTATTATTATTATTATTATTATTATTATTATTATTATTATTATTATTATTATTATTATTATTATTATTAAGGATGAGACACAAGATCTTCCACATCATCTTCAAGTTCTCAAGATGGACAATGTGTTAAGATTGTTGTTATTATTATTTACACAATTTCCAGAATATTTATGTTACCAGGATGAACCAGAAGAACCCATGATAAATTATGAACCTCAGTTTTTTCAACTCAAAGACATTACCAGCTACAGAAAATACAGTTAAGAAAGATATATAAACTTTTTAATGAATTTGAAAATATATAAAAAAGTAAGCATAAGAGAATAAGAATAAGAGATCTCACCGGAGTATAGAGTTAGGGAGAGAAGAAAGTTCATTTGATTAGGCCTCATTTAGACTATGCTGCTCAGTTCTGGTCGCCGTATTACAGAATGGATATAAATGCTCTGGAAAACGTACAGAGGAGGATGACAAAGATAATCCCATGTATCAGAAATCTTTCCTATGAGGATAGACTGAGGGCCCTGAATCTGCACTCTCTTGAAAGGCGTAGAATTACGGGGGGATATGATCGAGGTGTATAAATGGAAAACAGGAATAAATTCAGATTCAGAAAGGATATAGGAAAGCACTGGTTTGGTAATAGAGTTGTGGATGAGGGGAACAAACTCCTGAGTACAGTTATTCAGGCTAAAACGTTGTGTAGTTTTAAAAATAGGTTAGATAAATACATGAGTGGGTGTGGGTGGGTGTGAGTTGGACCTGACTAGCTTGTGCTGCTGGGTCTGGTGCAGTGCTCCATCCTTGAGTGGAGATGATCAGACTGGGTGGGTCATTGGGCCTATCCGGGTGGGGGGGTCATTGGTCTAATCCGGGGGGGAGACATGGACCTGCTCCGCATGGGTCAGTAGGCCTGTTATAGTGTTCCTTCTTTCTTATGTTCTTATGTTCTTATAAGTTTTAGTGCCTATGAATATATTTCTGAATTAAAATTTAGTTTATCAGTATTAGTGTGTATGAATATAGTTAATTTAGTGTTTCCACAAGCCTTGAAGAACATTATAGATCTAACCTCTGTAAATCCTCAAATTTCTTTCCTCACCTTCCTCTGCTTGGCTGGCTGCAAGATTAGCACGTCCCTCTGAAGAATTCGGGCGAAGATGAGCCTCAGCGTTCTTACGGTGATGACCACACGTTACGTGCATCACTCGTGCATATAGTACTAATTCTTCGACTTCCTTGCTAGCTAATGAGATCCCTTCATTATTTTTATTCTAATGGATGCGTAAATCACAGTGTCTACACCGCTGGAATGAACGGATGGAAAAAAAGAAGCTGAGCTTGCTTATCTGCAGCCATAAGACTGCATCCCACGAGCACTTTGAGCGGTATGTGCAGACCAGAGGCCTAGTCTTCCCCTCGAGCCCCGTGAGGGCGGGAATTGGCTAGGCTGGGACACTGAGTCCAAAGTGAGGCATTACTGTGCCTCTCCCATGGGAGACTTAAGTCTCGAGACACTCCCCAGATGGGACAAGCGTGTAACCACACTTGGAAAAGACCGGCCGGGGTATCGGCGAATAAAAAAAAAAAAAAAAAAAAAAGGATGGGAAAGTAATCAGATATGATTCGAATCAGGGAAGGATAACTCTAATTCTTCAGCTGATGAGCCCAATCCCAAACTTCCTCTCTTCTTCCCTCCTCTGTTAAATGGGAAGGGAAGTAAGGAACCACCAATATATATATATCTGATATATTTATTATTTATGAGTTGTATAAAATTTGTACATTTAAAATAAGCTTCAAAATAACCTATGCGCACATACATACCATATATACAGAACTAACGAAAATATAATGGAACAGGAAAACCTAATGAGAGTATGTTGCGGCATAATGCCGACAAAAAATGAAGCAAAGACAGCTGTAGAATAATCTTTTCTTGTTTTGAGATATGTAGAGCTGAATCAAGTTGGGATGAAGCTCTTCACTGATGGAAATTTCATCAGAGTAAAAGTTTATTCCATACCTGTGTCTTTTCTTCAAAATGAGATGACACATAGAGAGTAACTTGTCGGAAAGAATAAAATATCATTTATGGAGTGAAAAGTATTCACTTGAGAGATAAGTTGGCTGTTGACGGTTCAGGACGATGTGGGGTCCCAAGAACGGGGTCCCAGGCATGGGGTTCCCAAGCATGATATTCCGAGCAAGATTTCTCAGGCACAGGATCCCGAGTTCATGAGTACCAGGAATGGTAAACCGGGTACAGGAGGTCCCGGGCACGGGGAATGGGGTACCGCTACGGAATTCCAGTAGAAGTTGCCATATATATGGCCCCCATGTTCGGGGTCCTGGGCACGGGGTCTTGAGAACACTGTGTATCATTTACAGTAGCTGTAAAAAATTATATATTAAATAATATATATATATATAAAAATTATATAAATATAATATAATATTTTATATATATTTTTATATATATATATATATAATATTTTAATATATATCTGCCGAATAGGTAAAAATGGTATCAGCAAGAAAAAAACCCTTTTTTTATACGTTTCAAGATATTTTTTTTTCATATATGTTAATGTAAAAATTTTAAAAAATTTGGTACCAAAAGAACCTTAAAAATTTATCTAACCTTATTATAACAAGTGAAATTTTAATTTTAGCCTAACCAACTAAATATATTTTAGATAAGTCTACAAAACAATAATAAACAAATTGAAATCTTTTTTCGTTAGGTTCAAAATTTTTTTTCAATAGAAAATTTTTCGCATCCCTTTACCCGGGAAGAAGGGCTTCTATTAAAGCGAAAATCACGTTTTCCTAATCGCCGATATTTATTATATTATATATATTTTAATATTAATAATATATATTTATATATATATATAATATATATAAGTATATATAAATATATATTATATATATATTATATATATATAAAATTTTATATATATATAATTTTATTTAAAATATATATATATATATATATATACATATATAATAAATTATTATAATAAAATGAATATATAATAATATAATATATATAAAATAATATATATAAAAATTATTATATATTATTATTATATATATATTTATATATATATAATATTTTAATATATAATATACTTTTTTTTGTGTGTGGTGTGTGTGTGTGTGTTGTGTGTGTGTGGGGTTTATGTGTGTTTAAATATTTATTCATTTTTTATAAAATTAGGATTGACTAGCACAACAAATATGTATTATACAGTAGGCTATATCCTTCTCTTCACAAATACAAAATTTGAAAAATCCCTGTCTTGAGTGGCGCAAAAAAAAAATGAAAAAAGAGTATCCACTCGATGCTTGCTTCAGTGCAAGTAGCTCTGGCAAAAGCTTCGAGGTTCACCATCGCTGATGGTAAAGCAAACACCAAGTTACAAACTCGTGGGCCCCGAATCAACAGCAGCATGTTAACTCTACGAGAATGTGAAAAAATACGAAACAACTTCCACTGCGACATATAAAACACTCCCTTCACACTCATCAACATTATAGAGTAGGAACGGCACAGACTTACTTATGAAAGGCATTATTTTTTTTCCTCTGTCTATGTTATCATAATATTTCAAGGAACTAAAAACTGATGGTTCAGGTCACTTATAAAAAGTCTCAAGAGTAAACTTTGGGGTTAAGCTTCTGCTGTCAGCCTAGTGAAGTTATGAACTCAGTTTTTGGAAGACAATCTCGGGTTCTGTTCTTGGCTGAAAGTAACCATTTGGCGGTCATGTAGATGCAGGCGGCTCCTAATCAAAAAACACGCACAAGAAAACCCCACACGACCCCTGGAGAAACTCATCACAAGCACAAGGAAAGAGGGTTTATATTTTTTATTATATATATATATTATGTATATATATTTTTTATAATTTTTTTTGAGAATACATTTTGATAATACACTTTCTCTTTAATTAAGAAGCCGGAAAGTCCAAGGAGATCAGTTTCATAGTAAATAATCGCCATCATGAATGGAACACAATTTCCATCAGGAACACCAACAAGAATTTGAAACATTTAAAAACTGGCGGCACGCGCGCATTCCCTGCCGCTCTGTACCAGAAAGCACGACTGCATAACATCATCAGCATAGTCGCAGTCTTCACAGCCCTACCAGTTCAGGAAGAATTCGGTATGAGAGAAATTGCTGAATGCACTTACACTCGAGACCGTTTCTTTCAGAGGCTTGCCTCAGAAACAGATATTTTCTCCATAAATGCACCTACACCCGAAAAAGTCATACTAAAGGGTTGGACTGCTGGGTCGGGTTTTCCCCAAGGGATGTTTTTTGATTGGGTTGACTGGGGGGAGGAGTGTGATTGTGGCTGATCTGGTGTATGGGTCTCTTCGTGAATGTGGTTGATAGCTTGCGTGTGATTTGGAGTGTGATTTGAACAATAGCTGGGCTATGGTTGCTCACAATGGCCGGGGAATGATTTGGGGCGTGGTTTTGGCCTTCCTCTAACACCTCTTGAGATCCATCAATATCCGTCATCTCATCAATAGTGGCAATGGTGGCGTCAAGTTGGCCTTTGGCAGGCATCTTGGTTGGAGTGCTGTTGTTGTTTTTGCTCTCCTTAAACCTCATTAGTTTTTGCTTTTTGTCTGGGTCATCCTCATACGTATAGTAGAAGGCAGAATGCCGGTTGTACAATACGATGCCGACTATAATGAGTGCCAGCAGAAGAAGAACGAGGACACATCCAGCCACAATGACCAAATAGATTTCCTCTCGCATCATTTTCTTTACTGACCATCCTATATCAATGTCTTCTTGCCGTGTCAGTTGTCCCCGAGGTAGCTCAGGTTCGTCGGTCATCACGTCGAGCGATGGTTCTATCCAGGTAGGCCAGACTGCGAGAGCTGATGGCGTTGTGAAAGGGCAGGCTGGGAGGTCACCTGGTGGTAGGAGGGACAGAACTACTCCAGCTACGCCTCGAGGACCAATGCACTTGATACAGGTCCACACGCGAGGCTCGTCACACCCAGACTCCTGGTCAGGCGCATCCTGGAGCCAGCGCAACAGCGGCCCTGCGTGGCACTGGTCACACTGCCACGGGTTGCCCTCCAAGCGAAGAGTACGAAGCTCAGTGGCAGAGGTCACGGACTCGAAGAAGGCATCGTCAAGCCCCCGGAAACTGTTGAGGGAGAGGTCAAGAGATCTTAAATGGGGTGCGTTAAACAGAACCTCTGTAGAAAAAGTTGTTAGGTAGTTTGCCGACACGTTGAGATGGTGAAGATGGCGAGAGTGTCGTAGAAGTTCCGGTGGTAATCTAGTTAGACCCATGTCGCCTAGACCTAACCGGCGCAGCTGACGGGCCTTTGGCAACACAGTGAGAAGCTGGTCCACGTGAAGTGAGTTGCCTGATAGTTGGATCTCGTGTAACTGGTGAAGCGTATCTTCTAGGGCGCCGGGCTCAAGGTGAGACAGACGGTTGTATGACAGGTCAAGGTGCTTAATGGAACTATTAGCAAAGGCATTAATTTCCAGACGACTAATACGGTTGTGAGCAAGGTGAAGAGATGTCAAAGGTGAACCAGAAATAGCTCCTTTTTCCACAAAGGAAAGATGGTTTCCGTCAAGTCTAAGAGTGACCAAATGGGGTAGAGCAGTGGAGGCTATTCCGAGAGGCACTTGCGTTAGGCGATTATTTCTGAGGTCAAGATCACGCAGCTGTGGTAGAGTCTGCAGAAGTGTACTACTGATAGAGCTGAGGTGGCAACCAGCACAAGAGAGCTGCCGCAGCTCTGGCACGTCAGTAAACCGCTCTGGCTGCAGGTCACCAAGGGGATTATGACTTAGATCAAGACGCTCTAGTCTTGCAAGTCCGAAGAAGATCCTTGGCACTAGTTCGGGAATCATGTTGCTGGCTAGGGTAAGTGTGCGGAGATGGCGCACGTGACGGAAGACTGCCGACGGTACAGACTGGATGCGATTATGACTCAGATCTAAGTGGCGCAAAGCATCCGCCCCACGGAAGTTTGTGTCCATGAGGGCGGAGATGTGGTTATAAGTAAGGTTAAGGACGTGAAGACGATGGAGGCCCCAGAAGGAGTGGGCACCAAGAGCCGGGATCCCTGAGTAAGTGATGTGCACCTCCTCCAACCGCCGCAGTCCCTTGAAGATGGGTCCCAGTGTGAAGCTGTTGGGATTACCGGGCGGCGCCGAAATCAACAGCAGTTCTGTTTCGGTGCCCATGTTCATAACAGGCAGAGGGTCTCTCATTCCCCCGGACTCGCACCGGATGCCTCGCCGCCCACGCTCGTCTAGGGAACAACGGCACTCTCTAGGACACGCCCACGACGTTGCCACGAACGACCATAGCAGCAACAGCAACACTAGCGCCATCTGCAAAAGAAATAAAGTTGAGATGGCACAATTATGAAGTTTCTCCCAGCATAGCCCCGAACCTCAAAAGTTCTATGGAGCAGCAGGGTGACATGGTAATATACTTCATTAATTTCCTAAATAATTGGCATAATTACTCACTTTATCAGATAATATGGTTCACAAGATTTAAAACATACAATAATAGTACAAACATATGATTGATGGAAAATACAAAAGGATCAAAGGATACAAAAAATACGCGGATGTTTATTAGGTATATGAAACGTAATGCATAAAACGAAATCACTCAAAAAATAAAATTACAAAATATTAGCAATATTTGTATGAAATTTGTCTCACGGTCACATTAACTCAAATGAAATGGTTGACGAACTGAAAGAAGCAGGGCAAAGATAAGGCCGCTGGTTACAAGTACGGACAAAAAAAAAAAAATAAAACTGCTTGAAGAAAAATATTTCATAAAATTCTTGCGAATGATATTAATGATATATATATGCTAATAGGAAATCTGTGATAGCTTACAGTAAGGTTGCATTGGATGAAACATGCGTGATAGTAATACAGAAATATGTTGGAAACTATGAATGTGGCAGGTTGATGTAGCTAATCCAGAGGTAACACAGTAGTATCTATGGAGAACACAAACACATTCTTCGGCACTGTATCATTCATTGTAATCATTGTATAAGATTGAAGAAGAGGACAGAAACTAAGAGCAGTTTTGTAGAAAACAAAATAGATTTTTAGTGTTTTTGCATTGATCGTTTGACAAAATTCTGAAGGTGAACAAAAAATTCTTAATGGTGATAAAAAAAAAAGTCAAATATGGTCGTTTATCCCTCTTTCTAAATACTTTTTTAAAATTCCATTTTAGCGATATTTAACATTTACGTCACAAAAATCATAATACACGATTATACGTTTTTTTCAAGAATAGATATCCCTCTACCCCGCATTCTAGCTGCTGCTAGACCATCGTTCCATCCACAGAACCTTGTTAGCTACAATAAAAGTCAAAATCATATCCTAGTAATATTAACAGGTGACCCTACCTACGATGATTGCTGCAATTTTTTTGCGAGGAGAATCTCTTATCTATAACAGTCTGTTTGATAGGAGAGAGTTCTTGCCCCTTAAGAGTATAATTAATAATGATAAAAAATAATAATTATTATTATTTTAATAATAACAATTATATTAATAATCCCAATAATAGTAATACTAATAATAATAATTATAACAATAATAATAATTGTAATCCGTTTTTTTTTTTTTTGGTATTTTCGAGGACAAAAAATAAAAGGTTACTGCAGCTGGAAATTGTCACAAATGAACATTAAACGAGAAAAAAATTATATGAATTAATTGCATCAATATACTGCTGTGTCTATTACTACGTCGGTGGAACATTGTTTGTAGCTAAAATGATTCAATGCATACAAATTATAGTTTTGATATATCGCTCAGATAATTTGAACGAGGACATTAGTTACTCGTCAGTGAAACACGTTGCCGCTGCATGGTTAGTTTAGCAGCGGTTTTCACCATGAAATTCACTGTGTATAAAGCAACAAGGGGATAAAAAAAAAGGTCACAATACGGTGGCTGGAACATTTCGTACATAACCAGCATTTAGGTCCCTCCTGGACGACCATCAGTTTACTACTGGACTGACAGACCAAAACCTCGTAAGTGGTTTTCTTTCCTAGGTGCTGGGTATTGATGGGTCAGGGCATCGAGTTTTACATTAATATTGGGGACAAATTTAAATTATTCATGCTAGAAAGAATTACCGGAATATTGGCACACATTTGTGTATATTTTATGTATTCAGATTAATGTTTGAACTGAATATCCAGACGAGCCTGGCCCATGGCTGGGTTCCGGGAGTAAAAAAAAAACTCTCGGAGCTTATCAAACAAATGTATGAGTGAGAATAGTAGAGTCTGAAAGGACTGGTGTAATATCCGTCTACCTCAACTAATTTCAAATGCTTTCACCATGGTATACTACTATTTCCTCTTATGCGACCCACAACAGTCGAGTAGAACCTAGGTAATTATTTACTGCTTGATAAACTAGTACAGTGCATGTAAGGAGATTTAGCCATAAGTCTTCTTTCACCCGAGAATCGAAACCGGGTCCTTCCAGTTTCGAACCGAGAGTTCTACCACTGAACTTCAAGTCACCTGTGGTTGTAGAGCTGATTTCCCCAGAAGCTAGTGTCCCGGGAGGGCTGGATGACCACCACAAACCAGGGCAAGGTGACGGGTTCCCGAGACCAACATTACTTCCACAATAGCCACGAGTTATGCTATATCGGAATCCTATACGAGATCCGCTGTCCGCTTTGTATGACCAACCGTGCCTGTGGACCTTCACGTGGCGTCGACGTGTCCTGCAGATTTCGGCATTGGTCCTCCTTCTCCTCTATCTCCTCCTCCTCTTCCTCTGTCTCCTTCAATTCGCATTGTTACTCCAACTTCAGCCACTTCAGTGATAGTGGATGACCATGACTGGTTTTCGCGCATTTTACGATGACTTGGTCTGCTGCAGTATTGTATTTTAACCATCATCACTCACACTTCCCATTCCTCTTTCTGTTTATTATTTAATCCTTTTTTCTTCATTTTTTGTTCTGCATCTCTTTCTTCTTCATATTTTGTTCTGCTTTTTTTTCCATTTTATAGTTTTCTTCATCTTTTTATTGTGATTGCTATAATTATTATTATTATTATTATTATTATTATTATTATTATTATTATTATTATTATTATTATTATTATTAAAATCATTATCATCATAATCATCATCATCATTATCATGATCATCATCACCACTTCATTTTTTGGGAAGCGCTTGGAAAATGGGATGGGCAGCCGGGAGGGCGATAAGAGATAGTCAGTTTTGACCTTACGATAGAGAGGATGGCTCCAATTGTTTGAATCAAGAGCCCTTCACTACTATATAGGCAACCCACCTAACAGGGAGGACAGTTTCAACGAAGACTCCTCGTATTGATGATTGACGATTTTGGTCATGCTCAAGGCACGATCCCTGCCATGAATTAGGATTGATTCCTATTGTGAGTAATTGCTGGTCGCTGTCTTGAGCAAATTGAGAGTCCTCCGGTGATTTTTTTAATTGGGATTTTCTTCAGTAAATAAGCAGTAAGGAATGAGAAATGATGGGAAAGAGAAGATGGAAGAGAATAAAAAGGAGATGGGCATGGAGAAAGATGAGGGGAAAGACAGGGAAAGAGAAGGAAATAACAGAGAACAGGGAGAAAAATGGAGTAGGGAAAAGGAATAAAGGAGAAACAAAAGTAGGGAACAGAAAGAATGAAGGCGAGGTAGATACAAGGAAGGAAGGAGAGGAGACATTGGACTTACACCCTTATTGTGATTCCTTTTCTCTTAATGGATACAACTTTTTTCGCCTGATGTGCAAATTGACTATTCTCATAGGTGGTCAAGAGCTGACCATCCATCTTGACGATGGTCCTGCAGAACCAATGGAAGTCAATAATTCAACAAGATGGACTGAGAGCCGCCGTTTCATTCACCACTGTTTCCTCCCCTTTAGTCCCCAAAAAATAGAGTGTGTAGTCGAAACCAAACGTGCTAGACTACGATAGTTCAGTTTAGTTCTTATGCTGCTTCCGTTGCTCCGGCCAGCTGTTGTCTTCCTATGCTCGGGCGAGCGCGTTCGTGGGTGGGTGCACGTGGGGTGTGTGTACTCACCTAGTTGTGGTTGCAGGGGTCGATTCATAGCTCCTGGCCCCGCCTCTTCACTGGTCGCTACTAGGTCCTCTCTCTTTGCTCCATGAGCTTTTCCATAGCTCGTCTTAAAGTTATGTATGGTTCCTGCCCCACTACATCACTTGCCAGACTATTCCACTTCCTGACAACTCTATGACTAAAAAACTACTTCCAAACATCTCTCTGACTCATCTGAGTCTTCAACTTCCAATTGTGACCCCTTGTACTTCTTTAGTCATAGAGTTGTCAGGAAGTGGACAAGTCTGGCAAGTGATGTAATGGAGGCAGGAACCATACATAGTGTGTGTGTGTGTGTGTGTGTGTGTGTGTGTGTGTGTGTGCGTGTGTGTAATTAGCAACAGGAGTAGATATATGTTCACTAATATAACCAGGCATTCACGAAGGGGAAACCTTTAAGTGGTTGCCTGTTTTTTCCTCTTTTCTTCCTTCCTCCTATTTTTTCAAGTTTCTGACCTTCAATTTGGTGCTAAGCTCTGGTTCCACATATTTTATGATAGGAGTGATACATATTGTGTACAAAATCCAGTAGGTTACTTTAAATGGGTGTTCATCGAATCTATTCTGATATTTGACATCACGTCAATGACTGCTGTTTGGTGGATTTAGTCGTCGTGCTGTTCACTTTCAGACTATTTCCCTGTGACAATGTTTGTAGTTTATTTCCTCAAGTGTATCCTGTCTCTGGGGTCATCTCTCCTTCCAAGAATTGTATGACAATGCACTTATTTGGATTCCACGACCTTTCACTTAATACATTACCTTGCACTTTTCAGTCTACTTAATTACCTATTCCCTTTTTAACTCTTTGCAATAAAATATATCATCATAATTCGTCTAATAGTATTTAAAAATCTATTAATTGTATCACTTATTACATCTCTTATTAATTCTTCCCAGTATTACATAATTCCTTTTGGAATATTAAGTATTTTTTAGCAACCCTTCAACCCCTCCCCCTTTTCCTCAGTTTACAACTATGAAATAATGTTCTCATTCGAAATATTTTTTATTTATGTATTTTTTCATATATTTGCATCACACTATATGCATCTCCAGTGCCTTTCAGTGCAACTTTTATAAACTCTCTGGGAGTATTTCAGTTAATCTTCTGTGAACCTTTTCTATCGTGTCCATGTATTTATGTAGGTTTTAGCACCACAGAGCCGCTGTTTAATTCAATTTCAGCAGAAGAGAGATAGAGAGATTACTATCGTG